TTCTTTCAATAATAAAAACAGTTATTTTAAGTTTGTTTCCATGCTTTTCCTGTACACATTTATAATTCGTTTAAAATAACTATTTTACAATTATATCTTAATCCTGTGCAATTTTGTGTTTCTAAGGCTCTTGTAATTTATATTCACACCTCCTAACTTTCATTTCAAGCTCAAATTCTTGTTTCAAATTTTCAGTTATAAAACTGGTTATTTTAAGTTTGTTTCCATTCCAAAAGGATCGTACTGGAATAAGATCTCCTTTGGGCTCAATACTGGCAGACTGTTTCATGGAAAGCATTGAGAACCGTCTATTAAAGTCGAACAACTGTATGCAAGGCACATAAATGACACTTTAGTCATTTGCAACAGAATTCATGACCTCAGTCAATTGCTACAAGTAACTGACAATTGCCCTTCGACAACAAAATTCACTCTTGAAATGGCATACGAATCCAACATTTACCTTCTCGATGTGGAACTAATAGAAGACCTGGCGCAGCCTTAAGGTCAGTCCATATAAAACCCATTTGGAACGGCTGACTAGTGAGTTACTACAGTTAGGTGCTTGTTGAACAAAGATGAAATTTAATCCAATCCGCTTACACTCGAATCCGATGCATATGTCGTCCTGACATCCTAGAAGTAAAGAACTAGATCTGCTGGAAGAAATCTTTATCGCAATAAATACCCACCCAGATTTATTGACAAGAATAACAAACCAGAAGTTCTGAGAAGAGAAACATTACTTGTTCCAAATAAGAAATTTCACATGAACCTGAATTTCAGCAGCAACTTGACCCGAGGTATTTTTTAGATAATTTCATCATCTTTGAGAACATCCTTTGCAACAACGCCAAGAGTAGTGTTCTTCGGTGATCCATTGGTTTGCATATGCTTTAAGGACAAGGTCTCGCATCTGACCACTCCTGTATGCATATATCAGTTCAGTGGTTCTTTTAGTGCCAGATATATTGGTAATTCGACCCCTATCCTGCCTAAAAGGGTTCAAGAACACTATCCCATATGGTTGGAGAAAAGTACTAGTGCATCTATAAGTAGTGCGTTTATCGAACACATTGTCAACACTGGCCATTCCACTTCAAAACATACCTCCTTCACAGTAATCTAGAAAGTGCATCCTGATTACAACTCACTTATAAAATCCGTGTGTACAGCTTAAGGGAAGGAATTCGCCGAAAATAGCCTAGTCGCTGAACTGCATACTTTTTCTTTTCGTCAACAGTTTGTCACTAATTTTATCACACAACCTACATTTTATATCATCGGATAGGTGTTCCATGTCAGTTGTTTTTCATCTTGTTAACAGAGGAGAAGTCAATAAGTGTATCCAAAGGTTGAATGCTGAATTGTGCAGTACTGCCCAAAACTTTGTTTGGCAGTAAACCATAGGTATGCTGTAAGAGAATCAGCAGTGAAACATGTCAGCCGAAAGGTGTAGAATCACCAAGACACTTCTTACCGAAAATCCATCAAAATGAGTGAAAATCAACACAGAAAACCAGTTCTTAGGTCATTTCATTGGTGAGATGAATAATACGACAGTATATATCTCTGGGCCTACAAACGTCTCAGAACAAGAAAACAAGGAGGCGTTCTACAGACAACTACAAGCAATAATGGACAACGTCCCAAATGGCGATATCAAAATCCTGATGGGCGACATGAATGAGAAGCTGGGACGAAACAACACAGGAAGAGAACTCACCATGGGTCGTGAGGCCCTCGGTGAAATGAACGACAATGGTGAACTCTTCTCAGACTTCTGCGCCTTCAATGATTTGGTGATTGGTGACAGTGTGTTCAGATACAAGGATATACACAAGGCGATATGGATTTCACCAGATGGAAACACCAAAAACCAGATAGACTTCATTTCAATCTCAAGGAAGTGGAGACGGAGCCTACTGGACGCAAGATCGAGGAGAGGAGCAGATGTGGGTTCAGACCACTATCTAGGTGGAGCTAAAAGCCTCGAGGATAGCTGGGGATAGGCCATAATGCAATTTCAACACTCAGAAACTGAAGGACACTTTCACTGCAACTGTCAGAGCAAAGCAGGAAACACTACGTGACATCACGGGAAAAGCATGCTTGAAGACCACTGGAACTCTCTGAAGATGATTTTCAACGAAACGTGTTCAACGGTTTTAGGAAGAAAGAAGAAACAAGACAAGGAATGGCTCTCAATGGACACTTGGAAGCTAACAGAAGAGAGGAGAATGATGAAAGTGAAAATGTTTCAATGCAAGGACGGGCAAGAGAAAGAGACGCTGAGCTCAACTTACACAGCACTGGACAAAGAGGTGAAGAAGAGTGCTAGGAAGTACAAAAGACAATTCTGCGACAATCTGGCCACTGAAGTGGAGAAGGCAGCAGGCAAAAGGGACCTGAGGACACTATATCAGATAACCAAATCTCTATCCGGGAAGAGACCAACACAAGTGAAACCTATAAAAGACGGCCAAGGGAACCCAATTTACAAGGAAGAAAGACAGATTAAACAATGGGCGGAGCACTTCAAAGTACTCTTGAACCGACCACCACCTGCAACCCGTCCAGAAATACCAACAACAGCACGTACACAACTGCAAGTTGACACGAATCCCCCAACAAGAGCTGAGGTCTTGAATGCAATCAAGCTTCTAAAAGCTGGAAAAGCAGCTGGACCAGATGGAATACCCCGTGAAGCACTAAAAGCGGACCCAAAGACTACAGCAGATATGCTGACTGCATTATTCCAAAATGAAGGAAGGGAAAGGTGCCTACTGACTGGAAGAAAGGTTACCTCGTGAAACTACCAAAGAAGGGCGACTTACGCCTCACTCTGCAAGAACTGGCGAGGAATCATGCTCCTGTCGACGCCAAGTAAAATCCTGAGTCGCATCATCCTGGAGGGAATAAACGACGCACTGGAGACAGAATTCCGACCAGAACAAGCTGGATTCAGGGAAGGCAAATCATGTTCTGACCAAATTGCAACTCTAAGCATCATCATCACGGAACAAAGCATGGAGTGGCAATCAAACCTGTACCTCAACTTTATAGACTTCGAGAAGGCCTTCGACAGTGTTGACCGCGAAGTAATTTGGAAACTACTCGAGTACTAAGGTGTACCCCAAATATTCATCAGCCTTATTCAACACCTGTACGACAACGACGCATGTCAAGTGATCCACAATGGAAAAATCAGCGAGGCGTTTGGAGTAAACACAGGAGTCAGACAAGGGTGCTTACTATCACCAATGATATTCCCAATTGTGGTGGACTGGATTATGCGTCAGACAGTGGGAAACGAGAAGACATGGATATCCTGGACCGACGTGAAGAACCTAGAAGACCTGGATTTCGCGGATGATTTATGTTTGATGTCACACACAATCGAAGACTTACAAGCGAAAACCGACAAACTGGTCGAAGAAGCAGACAGTGAAGACAGGACTCCAGGTGAACATACACAAGGCGGAGGCTATGAAAATAACCAACCAACAACAACTACTACAACAGCACCAACATCCAGCGCCAATCACCATCAACGGGAGGGATTTAAAAGAGGTCACTTCATTCACTTCTTATCTAGGGAGCATTGTCTCAACTACAGGATGTCGGAACGGACGAGGATGTCAAATCGAGCGAGAATCAGGAAGGCGAGAAACACATACATTCATCAACCTGAAACCAATCTGGAAATCTTCGTCACTCAGCATCAACAACAAAATCTAATCGGATTTTCAATACAAACACGTCAAGTCAGTCAGTTCTTCTATACGGAACGGATCAGAAACTTGGCGGGCGGGTCACAAAGAATATTTCCAACAGCCTGTCGCAGACCTTTATCAACCAACAACTGTCTTCGCTGGCATTATACTGAAGATCAGACGGCCGGGCCGGAAAGAATCACCAACAAGTAACTATGGGAACAAACAAAACAAGAACCAATCGTCCAACAAATATGCAGGAGAAAGTGGAGATGGATTGGACACTCGAGGCTGAGGAGGCTGCTGGGTGACATCGCGCGTCAGGCCATTGCTCGAGTGGAACCCGAAATGGAAGCGGCTAGTGGGACGTCACTGCAAGGGTGACGTGGAAGAAATCGTGTGAAAAGGAGTTGAAACAGTATGGACTAACATGGATGCAGGTGAAAAGTACAGAAGACAGAAGCAAGTGGAGACGTGCAGCTGAAGCCTTGTGTTCCACTAGGAACCCAAGGGAACAATAATAATAATAATATCTCTCTGGAAACCTTTAAACTTATAACATAAAAACATGTAATTTTATTTTGAAGTTATACGACGAATTCATTGCGCTAAATGATGAAACCATTTCACCAGAGTACCTGTGATGCAGGATGAATATATATATGAGCAAACTAAGAATCAATAAAACACTACAATCACATTCAGTGACTTTCATAATCGCTACAACAACACAAGTGTGAACAATTGAAGAGATATGGAACAAATGATAAGGATTTACGAAGCCATCACCAGTTATAGTCTGGTTCATTTCTTATTTATTGCTATAAGTTGAAACAAATACTGCCAAATGCATTATATGAATGAATAAGAAACCAACTGTTAATACATACTTCAAAAACTCAACTAGACAGAGAGAGAGGGGGTTTAAAAACTATAAAGTTGAATACCTGAAGACTGAGTTACAAATATTTATCTTAAACAAAATGTACAAGTTACTGCCAACAAATCTACCAGAGTGATAAAAGTTATTCTGAAACTAACAATAAATTATGCACATTCTGACTGAAAAAAAGTTAAGGTTGTGAAAGTAGTGTATGAATGCGTTTGCAAGTATATAGTATACACAAACTAACAGACTTAGAAACTGTTATTAATGTTACAGAAAAATGGGTATAGGAAGTGGCGCAAAAAAACTACCTAAAAACTGTAAACGTAAGAATATCTTCAACTTTCTTCATTAAAGCATTTGAAATATGTTCATCTTCAAAAGTAGACTAGGTATATTCATATCTGAAGGAAGTACATTCGTGGATCTTCAACAAATTCCTTGATTTTTCGTAAAAATGTGACTGCTTCACGACCATCAATCAAACGATGATCGTATGTTAAGGCGACATACATCATTGGACGAATAACAACTTGTCCATTTCGTGCAACAGGACGATCAAATACACCATATAAACCTAAGATTGCTGATTGCGGTGGATTGATTATAGGCGTCCCAAACAATGAACCAAAGACACCACCATTACTGATTGTAAAAGTACCTCCATCCATATCTTCAACTGCCAACTTTCCATCACGAGCTTTCACTCCCATATCGTGAATTCCACGCTCAATATCAGCATAATTCATTTTTTCAACATTACGCAGTACGGGGACAACAAGTCCTTTGGGTGTTGCTACAGCGATACTAATATCTACATAGTCTCTGTATATTATGTCAGTACCATCAATTACAGCGTTGACAGCTGGTTGGTCCATAAGAGCAATAGCAGAAGCTTTAGCGAACGTAGACATCATCCCCAGTTTAACACCGTGAATTTTCAAAAAGGTGTCTTTATACTGACGTCTTAGTTCAAAAAGATTAGACATATCAATTTCATTGAAAGTACTTAACATGGCACACGTGTTTTGCGCATCTTTTAGTCGTTGAGCTATTCGGAGTCTCATGCGGCTCATCTTAACACGTTGCTCTGAGCGTGCACCATCGGTAGATGTTGGTGTTTGCGAAGATAATACAGCAGTGTCTGGAACCTTCGGCACAGATACGCTTTCGGCTTTAATTACAGGTGAAGCTGGAACAGATGTTGGCTTTGGAGATGGAGGTGCATCTATAGTTTGTTTTTTCTCAGGTTCTTGAACAGGTTTCTTTTCTGGCGATTTTGAAGTGGGAGAAGCACCTTCTTCCATTTTAAATATTTCCTGACCAGCACTAACTTTTCCCCCATCTTCAACCAGCAACTGTGTTATTACACCTGCACAAGGGGCTGGAACCGAAACATTTGTTTTATCAGTTTCGATTTCTGCAACAACTTCGTCTGCTTCGACCGCATCGCCAACTGCCTTTTTCCATACAATATCTCCTTCTGTAACAGATTCAGCGAATGGAGGGACGTTAACCACACGTACAGCGAAAAGATAAGGATGGAGATGAAATTTTCTTAGGGGACAATACCTGCGTAAAAAATGGACAATCTTTATTAGGAATTGTATGCGGGTTTTAAAATCATAAATTTTGCAAATATCCTGGAACAAGTCGACAATATATCTAACTACAAATTAATGTTAACACGAATAGTCACCTTTAAAGAACACCACCCTAGCTTTGCCTAGTCTGTCTCTAAGAGCTTTATTTTTTCTAAATGCTAGTTCTTAAGTGTAACTCAGTACATCTGGGTTTTTCTACTATTATCCATGCATGTTACAGTGAGATTTGTTTGTGTTTCAGAAACAAAGTTATCCGGCAAGTTATCCATCTTCTGACTACAGCTGTCTCTCGATAGTGGAACCAGTTAGAGGAATAACCTACTGGTGATAGTGAATTCTCAACATATGTAAATGGCAAAAATAGTCAGCATTCTTTATTTGACCATCAAACCTACGAGCTGTCGAGAGTCGCAGTACTAAGACTGTCTGCATATAAACAAAGTAGCATAAGAAAACATTAACTGGGAAGCATATGCTTTACTTAAGACTAACTTTAATGAGCGCGAACATCGAGTATTTACCATACTCTAGGCCTCCGAATAGCCAATTTTGAATCTAATTGTTTTCAGAAACACTAAGACAATCTTAGTTGGAGACTGAGTTACGGTTGCCAAGTTGATGCAATACTACTCCTTTGGAACGCCATGCCTTCTGTGTATTAGGGACAACCTTCAAAACCAATATCAGAGGTTTAAAAATACGAATTAAACAAAAAGGTATTACAAGTCTTGAAAGGTGAAGCTGTGACGTGCATCTTAATGAATAAGAATGAGTCAATTTTACACTTCACAGAAGAAGGATTGGATTGGAAATCTTTCATACTATTAATTAGAAAATAGTAAGATTTAACTAATACTAGCAATTATATTTATGGTCATTGCATTTAACGTATCCGAAAGGATAACTAAAAACCAATAGAGAAGAAAGACTAACAGAAGAAATCTAGTTCCCCCCATACCTGGGCAATGAAGATTATACAGCACTATTCATTTAAGACCAAAGAAGATCAAAGCCAAAACAATGAAATTTAGACACTTTCCTTGGAGCTACTCAACATGTCTGATTCATTTTGATATCGGCAAGATAAGAACTGGCAATTATACTTTCCGAAAACATTTAAAGGGGAACCCATTACTTGCAGAAAAAACCACCAGAAATAAGAAACTTATGATCGCTAAATATCCACTCGAATACCGTTTATTAATGATGACAACGCAGCAGTTTTCTTCAGCATCAACCAGTTAAGGAAAAGACCCGCGTGATAACATTAAAGTGCCAAGCAAGTTAGCTAACGATTGCGACTCTGAAACATACTTGGTAATGTCCCGAGTCAATGAGTCTTATGATCCTACAGACCACATCAACAGACGTTAACCCAATGCATCTAAGCTCTACACCATGGTGCCATTTTATCCACAGAACCCCACCTTTATCTGACAAGTCCTAAGACCAACACAGCGTGGAAACTTTTGAAATCGCATTCGCACTATGTGCCTAAGTGCCAAGGACCAAGATAACACTATTTATCGAAATAGAAACCCCATCCTCTCCTAAATGAAAGAGTTCGAACAGCTTTCGTCTGTTTAGAATAATATGAATGAAATAGCGCCGACTTAACTCGATGGTGCGATTTCGCCAACTAATTAGATGCAGTGCTAAGGTCACATGAAATCGAGTGGAATCAGTCACTTTGAATGTGCAAAATCACCTTTCTAGGGTGTTATATGGAGTTTCATATTACTCTTTCTTTGCTGAGTCTACTTTTCCTAAGATGAACTAGAATTAAATCACGTATCTTCAGGATGCTTATCGCAGTGTGAGATTACAGTTTCTTTTGTAGACCGAAAGGTGAAGTGAAGGTCTAAGTAGTAGTATGATTTGAACTAAAGCCACTATACTGTTTGACCCACGAGACTAATCACGTATATATTTGACTTTCAATCGTCAGTTATTACAATATAACTGTTCCACCAAGCTATTTCCTTAACGGTTAACAAACTGCTCCTCCTAATTCAGTGTTGTTACAATCGATAGGAGAAAACCACCTCTGACAAAATAAATTCTTTGAGCAAAAAGTACTGCCTGGTAAGAGAATCACCCCTGCATGATTATACTGAGGGACTAGTTGGCACGGAACCCTGGTCCAAGAATAGCCAGTAAAATGGTCCGGTGAGTTAAACGCTTCACATATATGTTAGGTTACATCGGCCTTAGTGCAATGACTGCTGGTTAACGCGGTACGGACACAAACCCAGCTAGCATTTTTTTCGGGCGCATTGCAGACTTTTAGGGAGAGACTTAGTGCTCATTGCAGACTTTTTGGGGCAGACTTCGGGACACTGTCCCACGTAAGTAGATCTACCCTAAGTTTTTGCCCCAAAAAGTCTGCAATGCGCCCGAAAAAAAAGCAAGCTGGGAATGGCAGAGAAGCTTGTCGAATAATACTTACCTAAGGTCGAAACTGAGTTCTTGACTGGTTAAGCGTCTTGGTTTGCATAAAGAATATGTACGAGGAGGAAGACTGAAACTGACACAGCGCTTAACAAAACTGGATGAGAGGAGTATAGATAATCTCATCGCAACGGATACATTCAATTTTGCGCCCTAGCTACATGCCCATCAAAGAACACATTGGACCACTCTAATTTCAAACCTGAAATATCATTTAGTTGAACTAATGAGTTCCTTATTCGTAAAGTTCCACGTTTGTGACAATGAAAAGTATTTTTGATCCCGACATTACAATGAATAAAAGGGAGAATTCAAAAAGCAAAGTCGAGATACTTCTCCAATATGATGATCACATTCGTGGAAATTCTCGTCACTATGGGTAGAGTGGATCTAAATACGATAAATATGCGGAAATAGGGGTTATTTTGGAAATGATATGGAGAAAAAAGAACTTATTATTTTGTCTGTTGAAAATTTGGGTAGATTTGAATTTTCCAAAAGTATTATACCTGAATCATGGAAAAACATCAAGATCGTTCCAGTGCCTAAATCAACATGTGGACCTAATGTTAAATTTAGACCCATTACAATTACCTTACCCTTTTTGAAAGTTATGGAAAGACTTATTTTACTTAATCTTGATCCCTCTTCAAAACCTTCCAACGACCCCAACCAGTTTGCTTATAAACATAGTAGGAGTACGTTAGATGCTGCTGTCGTCCTCCACCATAGCATAGTCTCTAGTTTAGATAAAGGAGCTAAATATGCTCGCTGTGCCTTCCTTGATTACACATCTGCATTTGACTCTGTTCCCAGGTCTCTCTTGCTAAGTAGGCTTGCTGCGACACAGGCTGAAAGCTGGACAAATAAGTGGTTGCATTCCTATTTTTCTGAAAGGAAGCAGTACACCGTCTACAATGGAAAATCCTCCACTACCTCACTTACCTTAGCTGGTGTTCCTCAAGGTGCTGTTCTTTCTCCCTTTCTGTTCTCGTTTTTCTTACATGACTTGCCTCATTCTGAAGTAGCCACTTTTGTTAAGTATGCCGATGACCTCTCTGTTTCTATGCCTGTCAACTCTCAGTCAGATTGTTCCAAATTAAATAACTTTCTGTCGGAAATTAGTCAGTGGTCCTCTTCAAACGGACCTAAGCTAAATCTGTGTAAATGTCAGGTAGTCAATTTCACTTTCAGACTTAAATGTGACCTACAGCAACTAGTTAGCTCACATGGCCCCACTATCATTGACGGCATAGAGGTTGAAAATACATCTAATGTCAAGTACTTTGGGCTGAGTTTTTCCACCGATCTTTCCTGGTCTTCCCACATCTTGCTAGTCACTAGAAAGATGTTTCGCTTAACGTTCTACGTTAGGAAGTTTAGGCAGTCTGGTATCAAGCAGTCTTTGCTTTCTTGGTTTGTCAATTCTTGTATTCTACCCATCCTCCTTTACTGCTCCCCATTAGTCTTTCCTGGACTACTTAAGAAAGAATTTGCTTCGCTGAGAAGGGCACTAAAAGCTGTTAGTAGGGCAAGTGGGATATCTTTAAACCAACTGGTGAACACTATTGTAGATAGACATATTATGTCATGTAAGAAACTAGCGAATACAATATTGTCGGACCCCGAGCATCCTCTCTATACGCATCTATCTCCTTGCATTTCATCTGGTAGAACTAGAAGCAGCTATAGGAAGCTATATGCTATGACTACCAAGAATAAAATCTCCACAATACCATATCTGGCACAGCTGTTATGTGATGACAAATCCGTTAGGTATGGCACGATCAGCTTACTGCGGCACTCTAACAAATAGTTCAATTAGTTTTTGTTTTCCTTTCCTCGTTACTATTACACTGTTCTTCTCATCTTCTATCACACATCAACTTTACATTTCAAATCTTGTGGTGCATTGTTTGAAATGTAATACTCTACGCTGTTGTCAGCCGCGTCTCATAAACCGTTAATGCCCAGCTCCCCCTACGCTCGGGCTCACGCTGTTCCTTGAAGTTCCTCAGAAACATTTAGCAATAACGGACGAAAAAACCAAAACACCGATCTTCCGCTTGAGATTTCTTTACTGTTACACCAACATATAAAAATAATAACTGAACTAAGGTCTGTGAACAAATATTACAATAAGAAATCATAAGATTACTTCTGACGATGTTTTATTCTTCATTCTCAACAGCAACCGATGAGACGATGACTGTCGTATTGATGCCTCCGCGAAAATTGGGGAGGTTGGTTTTGAGCAAACAACCATGAATTGATCGTTCAATCTTCAACTACACTGACACTCCCCCCCAAAAAAGGGATCCAACCCTTTTTTCCTTCACGACCAATGCACGTTGACTTGGATGTCATTGCGAGAACCTGGGTCACACGGACAGAGCTGAAATGGAAAACAAACAGAAAAGCCAACACACCACAAGCATACCCACAGCACAATCTCACACATCGCTGACGACCTGCGCCTTCCAGTTAAAGGCATCCTCTTACAACACAATCTCCACTTGCTAGAATGACTCTTGCAGAATGCAACGTGACCATAGCAGCACCTCACGATACTCTACGCACATCGTCTTATCTACTCACTACCAATTACCACTGAAATCGCTTGTCACTCATTCTGCCTCAGTTCTAGTACAAGGTGACGTATGCGAGCCTCAGTCGTTTACACTCCTTCTCCTCGGCGTGTCGGAACGCAGCTAACAATTATCTCCGTGTGCATTTCATTCTCAGCAATAGCCTAGCCTCCCCGGCGTATACGACCCATCTGCTGTCTTTAACATCAATCAATTCATTCATGGATGTAGAAGAGTGGACACAACTTCAGAAGTAATCATGACGAAAATTTTAACAAAATTATGCAATAAAAACAAGATACGAAAACAACGAGTAAACACAATGAATCCAAAACACCACCAATTGATATGACACACCACACATATATACAAACAGTACACACAAACTCGCAGTTCATGTCTTGATGGAATTCCTTTGAAGAATCGCAGGACTTACACCAGTACCCTACAACCCTTCACAGGTTGACGGTTGTAATTTGTGGAATGTCCGGACACAAACAGAATTGCCAACAGCTAGATGAAAGATGATATCAATTCAGTATATAAAATATGAACTTGTGTACAAAATCACACACCGAGCACATTGGATTGCTCATTGATGCGCTACCCTTTGAAGAATTGTAGGACTTACAACAGTATGCCTACAACCCTTCTCAGGTTGATGCTCTAGGTTGGAAAATCGTTGCAGAGTTCATTTGCTGACTTCCTTCTATCAGCTATGTCCTCAAATATGAACGGCAACACGCTCATGTCATCGTATCGTAGAATATAGATGACGAACAAACACACGAAGTATCTGGTCAACCAAGCGTAGACACAGAGTAATTTACACCAGAGATAATAACATTCAAATAGTAACTTGAAACTAGAAATACCTTTATTCGTGCAAGTCAATTTAACAATTACTCTTTTGTTTACACTTGGCTTATCCTCTCTAAACTGACCGTTGATATTCGTCCTTTCAAACGAACTGATACTAGCATAGTCATTGTACAAGATACTTGAGTTGATGGGCGTCTTTTTCATTGTGGATGACAGCACCAACGACGACTGATTGATATCAGTTGATGAAGTTACCGCTGGACCAGGAGATGTTGTTGCTCGACTTTCAGAAATTTGTCTACCTGCAAGACCACCACCACTGCTGTCTTTTACTATCAGCTCAGGTTTAGCGCTAGCATCTGATGATAGGTGCGCTTCACTCTGATCAACTAAACTGACGGTTTGACAAGTATGTATGCCTTCTGCAACTGCATCTGCATTCAATTCTACTTCCCGTTCAAGTTGTACAGAACCTTTATTCAACTCAGCAGTAGTAGGCATTCCCTCCATTTCATCATGGTCAACCAAAGACAAATCTGCACTATCATGATCACTACCACAAATATTCACTTTACCGTCAACTTCATCATTTTCAAACTCTTTAATAACAGAAGTAGACAATTTTGGTTCCTCCTCAAAAATCCCCAAGGATTTTATACCTTCACTCTGACTAGTTATACCTTGTAAACTTGTAGGGTCAGAACTGGACTCTGAAGCAATAACTCCATTCAATGACACTCTATTCAACAATGGCTTACCAGTTGCAACTACAGACTTCCTGACCAAACCGTTATCGTCACACAATTCGGAGTCAGGCCTGGAGTTTACATTTAGCTTATCACTGAACTTGCTTACTGGTTCACAGTTCACCTCTGTATGCACTTCTTGCAAACGTGTAAAACAACCGTGCTTGTCTTGCAGCTTGTAACTTATCTGTTGAGGATGTACTACGAAACCTGTTACACTCACTAGGTCTATATGCATTACTAGACATCATGGTGCCTTCTCGATATCCACCTCTCAGAGGCCTATTCGTCATCAATGATTCCATTTTACCCTCGGACTGCTCTATTCTAGGGGCGAGATTCAATATGCTGGCAAACTTGCTCATCGATTGATTGGCACTATCTTTTACTAGTTTCAGAATGTTATCGAACTTTGGCTCGATACCCTCATCCTCCATACGGGAGCTTATCTTCACCCACTTCCTTTGCAGTCGAGTAGGTGGACGTCTTGCTATTACTTCTAGTATAAAACTCGAGTTGAGGTCACTCATGCAATTCATCGAAATCAATGCATTCTTGTAAATCAGCAAACTATCCAAGAACTCAGTGAGTGCCTGGGAGTCATCCTGTTATTGACCACTATTACCCTTAACAGCCTCGAATAATTTCCCTACAATCATCGAAGGTCTTCCAAACTTTTGACGTAATATGCTCATAGCCTCAGGGTATCCCTCATTAGGGGGCATGAGCTCACAGCACTGTATAGCTCTTGCAGCAACCCCAGTGCAGTACCTCATCAAATACATTAACTTTATTTCATCAGTTAATAAAAAACCATTCAGCATGATCTCAAACTCCTTTACAAATTGTAAATAATCAGCCGGGTTTCCATCAAAACATCGTGGTTCTAATTTAGGGAGTTTGATGTTCCTATTATCCCTGAACGGCGAAACAGTACCATCAACCATGTCATGCTTAACATCAGACACAT